CCTGCGGCCGGGCCGGGCGGCGTTCCCGGCTCCCACGGCAGCGCCGCAGCTCTCCGCACCCCCTGGAATTCCGACTCCCAAAAACATTCAGCCACATAAGGGAGCTCCCCCAGGCCCAAACCGCGAGGAGCAGAGTTTTCCCTCAAGTTTTCCCTCAAGTGCAGCTGTTATTAAAAAGGAGCAATCGGGTGATGCTTAAACATGATTTGAATTGCACAAGAGCCTTGGATTTCTGCAAAAACCCCGCTCTATTCCAACACAACAAGCGCCGAACCGGCAGCACCGCGCAGCATTGACCATCCCCGCGCAGGCAGGCGGCGTTCCCGGGAATGACTGGGCTCCCCGGGCGTCCCCAACCTGCAGGATGTCCCCTGCGTTCCCGTGTTCCCAGCGGGACAGGGCTCCGGCCACCGAACCGGGCAAAGCGGCTCCTCGGCGCCGCCGCGACCCGCTCGGGACCACGGAAGGGTTCGGGTCCTCACCCACGAGCACGGAGCCGCTCCCGTTATCTTCATCCTCCTAAGGCTTCTGCAAAGTTTCATCCCGGATCAGCCATTCCGCACGGTCCCTGCGTGTGCACCTGGGGTCATTTCTGGCTGCTGCTGTTGGTGCTTTGTGGCCCGCTCGGATTCCCTCGGGATTTCCTCCCCTCCGCGCGCTCGGCGCAGGGACGCCGGGCCTGGATTTGTGCTGCAGACAAACCCCGAGCTCTGCTTCACCCGGGCGCCAAGGACGGGCGGCAGCACCGGGCGCAGCCTCTCCGGGCTCCATGTCCCATCATTCCATCACTTCCCATCACCCCGATTCCTTCACAGCAACGGGAGCGGCAGGGAAGGATCTGCAGGAGCCAGGAGGGTTCTGCCTCCCAGCCCACGGAGACGGCTGCCACCTCGGCTTTACTCCCATCTTTTCACACTCACACGGACAACAACCGCTTAAGAGGTGTCCCCATCCGATCCCAACAAGCCCCAAGTCCTCCTTTATCCCTCCCTCTGCACCAACAGGCCATGGCCATGTGCTGCTGCGATATCCCGGCCTCCACGGCTGCAGGCGCCGGGACGAGGCCCGGTGGGACGAGGAGCTGGAGCAGCTCCGCGTTCCGGAGCCGCCGCTGCGGGTGGCTCCTTCCCGGCGACCGTGGTTCCTGCAGGATCCTTCCTTCCAGCCCCCAACTCCGCTGTTCTTTGCCCACATACCAGCGTGCGGCTCTCGAGGGCTCACAAGGGAACAGGCCGGCTGGCCAAGACTCCTTCTAGGAAACGGGAGCCCGTCGTTTCCTTGCGCAAGCCCAGGCTGTAGCCGCAGGGGACGGGGAACGGAGACCGCGGAGCTGCCCCTGCTCCTGGAGGAGCCTCTTGCGTCGCCTCCTCGGGGAGGCTGCGGCTTCGGCCCCACGCGGGACGGGGG